TAAAAATTTTTTTTTTTTTTAAAAAAAAATTTTTTTCAAAAAAAACTAATTTTTTGTCCATATATATAGTTTCTCAAAAATCTTATTTTTTCAAAGTACATTTTTTTCAAAAATGTTAATCGTTTTTAAAAAATAATAATTTTTGGTACGGGAAGTTCCAGCAATTTGCCTTAAGGCACGATGCCTTAATTGCCTTAAGACAGAATTCCACTTACAGCTAGTTTTGTATTTGTAATAGGTTTCCTATTAAAAAAAATGCGTTCTATAAATATAATAACAGGCATGTATCTTTACATTTATGAAAAATTCTAATAAAAATTTGATAAAAGTAACATGAATAAAATTAGAGATAATTGAGAATGTTTAAAATGTTTGATCTAATCACATGATCACGTGATTGTGGTGTTGTAAAATGTGTTAGTATAGTGTGGTTTTTCCTGATCTGGTGTGTATAATTTGTTGTTTTCAATTAATTTTTCCAATGTATAAATTCATTTTTTAAAACTTTTTCTTATAATGTAAATTTCTTTTAGCTGAATGATGAAACACATCTAGTCTCGAAACGTATAAAAAATTAAAATAAATCTTTACATTCGACGCATTGGCTGTTTTATTTATTTCAATATATACGAGTATATATATATATATATATATATATATATATATATATATATATATATATATATATGAGATTCAGTCTTCAGGGCAATACATCAATTAAAAACTTGTATGACTTTAAAACATTTTTATTTTTTCCATACGACACATTGTTTTGTGTCATCTTCAGATAGAAATTATTAATTAAAACTAATATATAAGAAGTGATATGGTATGAACTTTCTATCACTTCATATATATTAGTTCATTATCACTTCTTATATATTAGTTTTAATTAATAATTTCTATCTGTGCTTTCAAACTAGTATGGAAAAAATAAAAATGTTTTAAAGTCATACAAGTTTTTAATTGATGTATTGCCCTGAAGACTGAATCTCACATATCTCAACATCAAAAATTATAAAAAATTAACATATACTATATATATATATATATATATATATATATATATATATATATATATATATATATGTTCCGGTATACTTGTAATTTATATATGAAAATACTTAATTTTTGTATTCTGAAATACTTTAGAGTTTGTTATGATCTTAATAAAATAATACATTTTCATGATATGTTGAAATTTTTTTTGACATTCGTTGGTACCGTATCCTCAATGAATTATGGAAATATAATTCATAAATAAAAATAATCATAAATAAAAACTTTCATAAATAAAAATACTAATATATTTGTCAATGCCATAGTTTTTTTAAATGACTTTATAAGATTTCTTTTTAATTCATGCGCAAATGTTCGAAGAAATGTTTTCATTTGAAGTAATCCAAAAAGGGTCTTGTACAAATCCTGTATTTTTATGATTTCCGAGTCTCTAGTTTGCTTAATGCTAGAATAGTTTAATACTTGAGATTGAGAACTGTCTGCTACAAAATTTTCCAACAAATTTTACTACAAATCTTCCTATCTTTAAATTTCGTCGCTATCGGACGGTCTTTCTGACTCGCCATCTCCATGATCATTGTCACAGCCCTCATCGTCTGAATTGGAAAGCGAGGCTTCTAGGTGTACCCGATCTACGTGGTGGTCTAAAAGATCCGGAGTTTCAAACTTTAATTGGCAAATTGTACATACAAATTGTCTACGCGGTCTTTTCGCAACTCCTGGCCTGTATTTGTTTCGACGAATAGAGTTTTGCCTTTTTAAAGTTTCAGTCAAAGACCCGCTAGAAATAGCCGGCGCTGACATGTTAGTAACATTAGATAATGAGGCGGAAGGATAAGGGTGACATTCTTCATATTTCGTTAGTACCAGTATAACATCTGGTAAGTCGTCGGAAGATGGTGTCCTTAGATCGGCATGATTGGATCGCTCTGGTATATTATCAAAGTACATACGAAGTTGTATTGTTTCAATTGGTCTATCAGATCCACGTGTTTCATTATCCTCATCGTTAAACGAATATTCATCATTATGATTATCAGCTGACCTGGCCTCTGCTTCAGCGGGCTCATTTTGAATAGATATTTCATCATCAGGTACGACATGATCTGTATTAGAACTCTCACTATCACTTTCCAAAACCGAGTCTCCGGACCAGGATCATTTTTACGATCTTCGGACATGTTCAATATGTAAGTAATATTAGATATATATAAAATTTAAAAACTTTTAAAATTAAACCAAATGTTCAAAATACATTAAAAATTTAATACATTTGGAATTGTTGTTCTGATAAAATTTTGTTTCTCAGTTTATATCTAGATTCTCATATTTGAAACAGTTGTCATGCGATCTAATTGGCAAAATAAATTGTCACATATATTTTAAATGTATAAATGGAATACAATTAATTGGCATCGCGGTGATATACAATATATTAATTACGAAAGTTAATTTGACTAATATTTATTATCTTATATTTTTTAGAATGTCATTGCATTCATTATTGAACTAGTTTGGAGTGCCATTATATTATTATTTAAATAGACATATACTTTGTAATAATTGCAATTTTTTTTTCTTTCATTAATCGGGACGACACAAGTATTATAATATTTAAATTATTTTTTACAACATTTTATTTGATTTTTCTGCGTGCAATTCTTCTGAATTCAAATAGAAAATTATACTGTTATGCTCAATTTACATTTGCATTATGTCAAGTAGAGTTGGATTACAGGCTTTGTGAACGCAATTACGAAAATTACAGTATCAATTGCATAATTTATTTATAGTTTGCGTCAGTTTATTATATAGATAATAAAAATAGTAATAAGCAATAATGGCACAGAAAGGTAAATTCTGTCTTAATAAAACCTAATCAGTACGCTATATCTTCATATTTTTACATTTGTTTTAATTTATCATTATGTGATAGAAATAATTATTTAATTGACATTAATAATTTAGCTTCGTTACTTGTGACATAATGTAAAAAGCTTCCCAAATATATTTTGTTTAAAATTAATAAAATTTATTAAGCCACATAAAGCTCACAACAAGCTTACAGCTTATAGCATTAACGTAAGTTCGAGGTTAACGCGCCTAAAATATAACGTCATATAATTAATCAAATAGCTAATTTTCATAAAATATAATGCTATTAAAAATAACATTTTTTTCTTTTTAATCCTACAAATATAATATAA